TAGACTGTGATGTTTATACAGTGGCTCCCGACACCTCATTAGGACGTAATGATATGTTACAAAGTATCTGAAAAAAAAAACTTCTGTGTTCCCCAAGTGATGTGTTCTTTAATGTTACACTAGCTTTCTGCATCCTGTATTCCTAGCATAGATCAGCAAAATGGATTCAGGTACAATCATTTTAGCAGCTCAGACTCTCAACTTTTGGCTTTTGCACATGCCTAAGTGCCTGATCTTGCTGCCCTTACTTGTGTGAATAGTCCCTTACTTGCTCTTACTTGTGTGAATAGTCCTTTACTCACTCTTGTGTGAATAGTCCCATTGATGTCTTCAGAGGACTACAATGGGCCTATTCACATAGCAGCAACAGGGTGTGGCTCATGCTTGCTAGAACCACATCAAAACTATCATCTTAATATATTCTACTTCATGATTTACAGTGAAATTGTAGGAAAAACTTGCTGATCCTCACCAGCTGGCTGCTTTGTGGAAGGAACAAAGTACACATGATGAGATTCTGCCACTCTTATCAAGTTAGTGCCCGACTAGAGAAATCATTCACTGACGTCAGGTCACATGCATAAAACTAAAAGACTTGGCCATCAGAAATGGGACTTTTTTTTAGGTGGAATGGTGGTGTTCAAGCCAACATTGTAGTCTAAAACCCCCTCACTATGACCACACAGTCCCCCAGAAGCCTAAGGTTATGCTCCTGGCCTTGCCCAGAACCACCCCAGTCTGAGCAGCTTGGCCAAGCCTCTGCTGATACAATAGGCATTACACATTGACAGAACCTGCCCCATCACTAAATGCTGTTATTAGCACTGTCTTTTAAAACTGTGTAGCTGCACACCTTTTCATATATGACTTGTGATTAGAGCACCCTCTCAGGTTGTAGGAACCGGAGGTCAATTCTCTCTTCAGCCTGGAGGACTTACACTCTAGGATCCCATAGCTCTGACTCAGAGGTGGGCAATTATTTGGGGCAGAGGGCCGCTTATTGAGTTTTGGCTAGCTGTCGAGGGCCACATGGATAGCTCCGCCCCTTGACAGGTGCCCCACCCCCTGGTTGCCATCTTGGGACTAGAAGTCCTGCCCCCTAGACCCTAACCTTTGCCACCAGAACTCCCTCCCCTTACCCCTAGATGTACTCCTTTCAGCAAGGGGTTTTGCCATCTCAAAACCAGAAGAATACCAAATTATATTTTAAAAAATGAATATCTTAAACATCCATTCATTTGATTTAAAAAATATTTTTGTCCTGGTTTACATGCATTTCAGTAGTGTGCATAGAGGTGGTTGTATATAATATCTTTAAATGAAGTCTTACTCTTGTATATCGTGGGGGGCAAGGAGCATGGGGAAAGAAGCAGAAAGCAGAGCAGCAGATC